AGTAGAAACAGACTGGCACAGAGGAAGGATCCAAAATGAAAGAGAAACACGAGAGACCGGAAGAGACAGATACAGGTTCGAGGGGCGATTGTTGAATCTGGAAGAATTTTTGTACTACCGGCTTGACCTCTTACGACTGGTAACATCTGCCGCACTAATATTTTGTCCCAATTCGAATATCCGCCTCTCGACAGCAAACTCGTCCCCTGTAAACGCATTATAGGATGGTGCACGCCCACGCGCTATATCAGCGCCAAAGACAATTTGGGTCAGAGATCAGGTGACGACGGCAGGTAGTACTTGTTTGCCTTTGGGATTGATTATGATAATGATATGAATTATGGAGCAATCAATGGAGGATGTGGCTCTAGCTTATGCCGAGACCGTGAAATTATTGATTTTCGTTTATGGTTATATGGTAGGTACTATAGGATGATACTTTGGCGGCTGTCTAAAATTACGCTTAGATAAGACGTCACGAGAATACCTGCTTACCGGTATGAATAGACAATTTCATTAATTTAATGTATCGGAGAGCAATCGTTCTATGGGAATTATTCATGTTTACCTAATCGAACACAGAACTAGGGTTTCGCTTTTTGTATTATTATTTACAAGGATCCTACTGTTCGGATGGTCCTTCCCGTTTAGGATCCTCGTGGGAATATCCTTTCTGGTATATATCCCATGTGAGGAGCTGGTGCTCGAGTGTATATCTATATACGTTTGTCGCAGAATCATCAGTTCAAGAGTTTCCAAGATTTCAGGAATAGTTTACCATTCAGGATCAGACGAGAAGCGAGAATGAACCTGGACAAGATAAACAGAGATCAAGGGAAGTTCGTATTATAAATAAAGATCTTAAAGTAGATACCTACGGGGTTGCCACGTAAAGATTACAAAGTTGAACCATCTAATCCATCTATAGAGAGAAACTTTTCATAAAGCCACGTAAAATCTAATGGTTCTGTTGTTGAGGAGAAAAGGGCATCGAATCCTTTATGCATATTGAAAGCATCGTTTATCATTGATCCTTCGAGACTTTAATACAAACATGGAATTTCGTTTGCTATACTGATGCAAGGTTCTCTCTAATCCCACACTTCACTTCCAATCGAATTCCCATCGCTCACGGAAACAGCCTTGCCAATAAATAACGGTCCTTCCATGAGAACAGGATTAACGAAGAGTCCAGGTGAACCACGAGAATCAGTTAGCGGTCCAGGATATTAATTAGCATTACGGATCGATTTGGAACCAGTCGCAAGAGGTCAGCTCATCCTAGGCCCATTCACTTTAAACCCACTTGACTAACGCATTGCGACGCAGTATAGTGATACGGTCGTACCGTATCACTAAAATTACGTGAAAAATACAAAAATTATATGAAGACCTCGGATATAATATAATATAATAAAAAAAGTTATTAATTAAGTTCAATTATCAATTGGACGAATAGCTTAAGTGTATTAGAGCGATATCAGAAGATACAATGATAATACATATAGCTAACAGATATAAAAGGGTTAGGTACTAGGTTATGTTTGACCGAACGAAAATACAAATAACAATTCAAAGAGGTAATACTGTTAAAGGTACGATTAAGGTGTTTCAGGATATGGCAAAGTTATTGGTTCGGGTCGATAGGCCTAAACCCACGGCACAAGGGTCAAACTTATGAGCATTTGAGACACGAGGGGTAGGAAAAACGAGGGTGCACTGTTTACACCGGAATTGGCACAGGACAATGATTACATTCGTAGAACAGGTGATATCCGGCACACGGCATGGCGTCCATGACGTGGCGCTGCTGAAGCACGGTTTTGCGAATTTATAAAGGGTTTTTTAAAGCACGTGTGATAATCGCGATTACAGAACGACGGGCTAAGGGCGCAGCCAGCGTCACTCGCGATCTACGTTCTGCGGCATACTAGCTCGTGCCCTGGCGCCTGTAGCACCCTCCTCCAGCCCCATCCCGTCCACCCCGGTACGTCGCTTCCTTCGTTCTACCCACCCCGGGACGACCCCCGGCGAAACTCTCATGCTTCGTATACCAGTAGCGACGTCCAACCCCAACGCAGTCCGGCAGGACGAATTGCACAGAACAGATTGCAATACGTAGTACAGATAAATCTAACCTAACCTGCACTATTAGTTTATATTGCTTCTGGAAATTGAGGCGATTTCTGAGGGTCTGGTTTTATATTAGAAAATTTACTTTCTTCGATGTGTGTTTTTCGATGTCCTCATATCCGGGGATGTTGACCTTTTTTTGAGTTTGATTTTTATATTACTTTTTTTTTTATCTTGCGTAGACTGTTCCTTTTTGATGTAATAAGACCCTTGGTGATTTTTCACTTTTGAAATTGAAAAATTGATTCATATCCCCGGTGAGACGGCAATGAGTTTCTGCTCATTGCAAGCAGCTCTTACGACAAGATAACGTTTCTTAAACGAGTATATTTTATAAAGTAGCGAAGAGTCTTTGAGATTCTGATAATTGATTTTCTCGTGTTTCACATAGCGTCTTACAGTCTGGTCTCAGTTTTCACGTAACTTAGAATATTTATAAAATATACAATAATCAGCTCTCTGGAAACGAATCTGGATTTTATGAACTTTTACAATATTTTTCTACCACTCGACAGAGACCAAGCAAGGACGGAACTAAATAACCTTAAACGATGGTACCAATCAAGCTTCTACATTTTATCGACCAGAGAAATTTGTTTTAGCGAATCCGCAAATTTCCAGGCTACGAATTGGCTAATGACGAATTTCCTTCTCCGCCCCTCTCCTACCCTTTACCAGGGAGCGACTATGAGATAAAAAACAAAGACCAAGGATGAACCATGGGGTCGTCCCGTAATGCTAAGATTATTCATCAGACTGGAGTTCGTTATTGGAATTCCGATATTGGGTTGCTGTAACGATGGGACGGCTCCTCGATGATATCGACTTGAAATGTGTCAAGGACCCTGCCGTGTTTACCCCTGCATTGCAAATCTTCTCCTCCACTTCCTACTTCTTCCACTTCCCTTGGCCACTTGATGTCACTGCCGGAAGATCGACTAGGTAGGACGCGACTCTTTATTTTTATCCACTCGCTTTAAGCCAGACTTCAGCCCGGGATTCCAAGATGGATAAGAAAGGAATGATGCTTTCTTGTTTTCTTTTCCATAAAAGAAATCGTTCTCATCTCGTATTTTCATACTGAGTTGGTTCGATGATATGCCGCGTTTCCCATCCAGATCCTGCAAACACTCCAAGTTTCTCTTCGAAGCACTAGGTCCTTTCTCGGTGGATTGAACCAGTGGAAATATCGTTGGTACACTTGGAAAAGGAACGTAATTGATGAGAAGCAACAAACCGTAGCTACTTGAAAATCTATAGTTCAGATAACTACTAATGTACTCATTAATCAAAAGATTATCCAAACCTGAGAATAAATCCCTCGGGTATTTCTCGCTGGATGAGATGGGGTACGAATTGCTGGAGCCTGGTTTGCACGTAATATACCTCTGCGAACTACGGACGTCCCAGAGTGATAAATATTATGGATAATAAGGATGAGACTCGATGAAAATATCCTATCACTGTCAAGAACTGCAGTCGCTGCACTGACCTGGAAGATTGCTTGTAACTGACACAAAGATATACAGAATGGAATAGAATCCGACGTGACAGTTTATTGGATTATGTTAGATACGAGCCAAAACGTTGTGATGTGATAACAATTTTTTTTTTCATATTGTCAGTAAAATTTGTCCTGTCTATTTCTTTCACTGGCTGAAAACTTGTCCAATGGCATAGAACTCGCTTTGATCATGTCTGAACAATTGAAGGGAACCGGTGTGATTCGAAATTGTGGGGTGAACGGCGTTGCTTCAATAGTCACGTGAAGATTTTTTTTATTTCCTTTGTACATACCGAGTGGAAGCTCTATAATCACAGAGACACGATTAATAGCACCGACTCTCCGGTGAAAGTAAACGAACTGTCGGTAAAGACGGTAGAAAAATAAAGTACCTTAAGTTCTTATGATGGAATGCTTAATTGAAAATTTCTATCTGAAGTAGAAAAAAGCTTGAGGAATGTATAGGGGGATCAAAGTTCCTGACACTTCAGAGACGTCGAGGGCTGATCTATCTCTTCCCGTTGATTCATGAAATTGATGAAAGCATCGATGGAAGATATCCAGACTCCCAAAGGCGAAGATCACGAAAGTCCACAACATGGAAAACTGAACTATCAAGTGTATAAGTGGAATTTTCAGTTATTCATAGGTCTTGACTAGTAGCTGGCCAACTGACGTGGAGACTGGATGATGCGAGGACTCACAATCAGTGAACAGTCCCAGCAGAAAAGTTCGAACAATGGACGTCTAGCTGGTGTCCCAGTGAGGTAGAAAAATTAATAAGTCAGTCAGCCATGGTCCATAGATTCATCCCCCTATCAGAGCTCGTTTCGTCGGCTAACTCATACCCCGTGCAGGCTCACTAGCTCGACTGCTACGGGATTTTTAAATGAGAATTTTAACGATCGACCTACATCTTCGTGGCCCATTTACGGTGTATCGCGGATGTCAAACACTGCGATAAAAATGCAACCGGTAAAGCCCACTGTGCTCCTCGGGAAGAAGTGCAATCGCAAACGTTTGCGGCTCGCTTCGCAGTTTGCTGTACCGTAAAATCGCTGATCGAAGCATCAAATACGAAAGCTCCTCGTCGTACAGCTGAAAATCTCATCTCGTACAGCTGAAAATCTCATCTCAATTGAGAACTCATTTCGTACGTAGGTCATGAAGATTTTTCCATTGCAGCTGCTTAGCTGGCTAAATCGAGGTCGATATCTGGGATGGAAGTACAGGTTAAACATAAATATCTGCAATTTCAAACTGTACGCTTCATCCATATGCTCCGTTCAGATAAACAAGTTTAAAATATATCAATAATCTACACTGTAGAGTATGGCATAACTTAAATGTGGTAGAAACTCACCCTGAAGTGTGGCTGCACCAAAAGATCCTGAAGCTCCCGAAGGTCTGCTCTGTCCACATTCCGGATGGCTGAAAGCTCTGCTTCCCGGAGGACATCTTCCACTTCACGTGCACGTTGCACCGCATCGGCTTGTGGTGGTCGATTTAGTGTGGGTACACAACTTGAGATTCTGTCATAGAGCTGAAAAGATAAGGAAATCAATTGTAATACAGAAATTCCTTGGTTCCTGATAAGGATACCATCTTTTATAAGCGAGTGTTAAAGATAATCGGTAATTCTGTATACATAAATATTGTGGAAACCAGAAAAAATATTTTTTATTAGCGATAGTTGATGTTTCCGTAATGGAGAGCTAACCCTAATGCTTATCGGCAATATTTTCTTTATCATCCCCAATCTAAGGTAATGTGACATTATTTTTGTAACGACAATCTTAAACGACCAATAAAACCTCAGAGCATCTTTTCGACGGTCATCGATCGGTTGACCAGGAACAACACAATCCCCTCCAGATCTTTCAATTTTTCTGGTTCTGGGGATTCTAGTTCTTCAAGAATCCAAAAGATGTCCTAATATTGCTATTCAAACGTTTCAGGTCGTTGACCATAGTGGCACTGAAGTACATGCCGGCACGCCCAACAAAGAAAAAGATGATTTTTGTACTAAAAATTCCTAATCGCATGAATTTATTGTCGATTATTAAAATCGAAAAGTTATTTTTCAAGATGCCAATGACTCCAGCGTGCGTCACTTACCAAGAGAGCCGCGACTTCTAACAAATCACCGGCCAGTTCGGCTTCGCCGATGAACATGAGTTGGTAAAGGTGCATTTTCCGCGTAAAATTTTCACCCCCGTGACATTATTTTTGCAAAGTACGAGTGCTACGCGCATTCGTCAAACGTTGCCGATAAATCAGGCCTATCGCGAAACGGGCTATGTTCAATTATACGTAGCATTGTCTATAGCTGTCAAGCTTTTTCCTACACCACGTCGGCCATGGAAACGCTTGCGCGGGAGAAATTAAGAGGGTGGTTGGTTCTCTCGTGAGTGATACCAGCCAGAATATGTACAGTGGCTCCACTTCCGGTAGCCGCGCGTACCTTGTGCTACTAAATAGTAGGCAAACTAGGGGATAAAACGATCCCTGGGGAAAGAAGAAAAGGATAATATCCAAGGGGCACGAATACTTTCCTTCCTAGTACGTCGCACGATTTATCCACGACTGCTGGGGGAGGTAGGGTGCGCAGACGCCATTGGGAAGAAGCGTGGATCAATTCTACGCACCTCGGTAAAACGTAAATTCTACTTTACCATCTGTGTTATGAATTCAGGTGCTCTAATCACTAGCTTCTACCCCTTGATATATCATAATTTAAAATTTCTTACTGAATCTCATCCGATGAAGTACTTAATGAAGATATTATGACTGATTTTTTTTTGTAATACGTTGAGTAGTGAAAAATGGAATTACTGTGCCAATGTAAGTTTAAAATACATTTCTGTTGTCTGGGTGTGACTGTAAATGAGTCATTGATATTTAAGGGTTGTTCTGCGGGGAAAATACAGACGTTTGTTGTTACCAGAGAAATTGACGTACTTTCACTATCGTCTCTTTACAGCTGTTTCCCCAAGACCGCTTGAATCACCTCAAGCGGAAAAAGAGGGGCCATTATCATACCTGAGTTTCAGGAACTTCGCCATGATCTAACATTATATTAAAAGTTTTGAAATTTTCGGACAATTGCAAAGTTGCGGGACTTATATTCTCATTCGACAACCTCTGACGATGTTAAATAGGTCGCATAAGTATGCAAGAGGCACATCTCACCTCTAATATTGCTCGAAGTCGTAAATCATCAACGGTAGAAATAATTTCTCCTCGTGGCAATCTGCTGCTCTCTTGTAGAATTTCTATATCGTCCAGAGAATCGACGATTTCAGCTACAGCACCTGTGAAAAACATATAATTTATAAATTCAATTGTTGCGAAAATTCGATTTTATTGCCATTATCAAAAATAATGATCTATCGTTACCTAAAGAATTATACATTTTCTGTATACACGGAAAACGATACTCATATATGTAAATATCAAATATGAACGCAAACCGTATCACAGTATCTCACAGTAAAGCAAATAGCAAGATGCGATTGAATTAAAGTGTTACACATATTTGCACAGAAATATAATATTATCAATCGCCAGCTGTTAGCCTTGAATATAAATTATGTAGGATCCATTATCTCTCAAGGCTGAATAAATTCTCTCTCATTACAATCCTCAAGCACCACTTGTTCTTATTAATAAAACTCTAGAGTCACAAGTAAGAGAAACATATAAAAGTCTATAAGAGATTCCAATGCAAATAAGCATTTGCAACTGAGCAATGAGAATCGTGATCCAGCCTTCAATTAATCTCAACAAAGAGTAATCCAGCATAGAGTGCTAAGTGGGCACTTCGACCACTGTAATTATCATTAAGTGGCATATAATAGTCAATGAAAGAAATTTCAAGTGGCAAACTATTCATAAGAAACAGATATACAATGATAAATACCAATTAAACAATAACGCTCATCAGAATTCTAAGTAAATAATGGCAATAGAAACCACGCGCTTATTTAACCAATTTTCAGTTAATAATTTCACACCTGTAGTCACGACCTCATCGTCTCCTACGTCAGAAAAGCTATCGCCATTAGCCTCCGAATACGGAGCATGCCACTTTGGTGACGAGACAGCTGCCATTACTGCATCCTTCAATTTTCGCCTGGCATTAAATTTCTTAAGTTCCTCTATAGTCTCTGCTAAATGTACACGTGCCGCACCCTTGTCACGATCCTGTAACAAAAAACGTAGCTCTTAATTGACTGTAGCATGTAAATAATTTTCCTAAAAGCTCCTCATATCCAAATGTTTCGTATGCAAACTAAATAAATTAAACGACCGAAAAAACTATACAAATAATTTAACAAGTACGTTCTATCTATAACAGTTAAACGGATACTCTGCATACTAATACTAAAGTATTCCATCCAAGATCACGACAGTGTGACCAGGTACACTAGTACGATATCGCAGAAAGTATACTTCGCCACCCTTATTTTTATTGACCGCACGAGTTTGCCCCTGCGAATCGATAACCCACTTGCATGTGTATTACTTGGATGGTAAACTACCTCTAACCCCTTCTTTACTTCACTGGTTAACCCTTGGAGCACACACTCATCACCAACCACTCACAACCACGGCGCAACTTTGCGTGTTTGTAAAATTCAGACTCTCCCAGAGTTCTTGCGACATTAAATACTCTTTTGATAAGTCAATGAAAATGTGAAAACGTACTGGTAGCTAGCAGCAGGCAACACGCGAAACTGTGAATGTAGCTTAAAGTTTTAAACTCCTGCCCCTCATATTATACATACTATAATTCCACGCATTAAGAACACGTATTATTTAACGCTATTCAAGGACCCAGCGATACCAGTACAGCTGGATTAAAAGTATTTCCAGTACAGGGTGATTACTTCTGGCAGAGTTGGCTGTAAGTAGCATTGCATCGTTGCACCACTTACTCTTAGCCATTTGTGATTGAGCACCTCTTGGATAGTGATTCTGTGATTAATATCCGTAGTTAGCATCCTTTGGATCAGATCCTTGGCAGTTTCACTGATGGAATCCCAAATAGCCGTTTCCATCTGCAAAGGACATTCCAATTATTAACCGCACTTTGTGTGATCGATTGAGATCGCATTCCCAATCACCACCTTGGTCATAGCAATGTGAATTAAGCTAATGATATCAGAATCCCTACCTGGACGCGCCCTCGGCAAATCGCTTCTCGCAGACGATCTCGGGAGCCAATAAATGGTAGCGTACCAGTCAGTAACACATGGAGAAGTACACCAGCCGACCATACGTCTCCTGGTTTTCCATATTGCCGTCGTTGTATCACTTCCGGTGCCATGAAGTGCGGACATCCGACTCGACCTGTTCGGTCCAAGTGAAAAAGAATAATTGTAATATTTTTTCTACGACTGTTACATACATTTCATATTTATATAGAGACACTTTGAAATTCGAATTTAAAACGCAGAACGCTATTTTGATTGTAGTGTTAGATTTTTTACAAATTTTCAAAAAAATACGTTATGCGTTTTATAATGGGAATCGAATAAGCGTTGGAAAAAAAAATTATAAAAATTCTGAATTTGACGAGCAAATATGTATGTGACATTTCGTGATTCAATTTTATGGTGCGAAATTCAATGTGATCAATTAGGACAATTGATGTGGCAATGATTAACGGTAATACTGGATCGTTCGATATGACCAAAATTCGTGTACGTCAAAGCGATAAATAAATAAAATTATGCGACCATGAGGTGGAGATACATGAAGAGAAACATTTACAGAAAAATGATAATATTCACGTAATGCAAATAATTCGTATAATGATAATTGCAAAATTTTATAATTCAATGATTATGGGTGTTTTGCAAGCACGACCGTGCGTTTGACAATAATAGTTATCGATTTAATGTAATCAGCATATACCAGCAGTCTACATACACAGAAAATTCATATGTGCAAGCAATTAAAATATCAGAGGAACACGTATATCACATCTGGTGAATGTTGTATCTTTATGCATATGTATAATATATATTTATTATATATATATATATAAATACACACATATAAAGCAAATGCCAATACAAGAAGCACTAAAGATACAATTAAGCGAGATGCACGCCAATCGCAAAAAGTATTCCGTCTTTTATTTCCCAAGGAAATTCAATGTCGAACAAGATAAACGAGCAGCCCAACAACGAAAACGTCGTAAAGGAGAGAAATAATGGAAAGACAATTAAATGTGTACATAAGAAATAACATTGAACAGATGGCTAAACAATCCTGGAAGCGTACAGATATAGAAGAAATAAATTTTAAACAATTAGTTTTAAATATATATTAATACATTTTTTATTTCCTTTGATATTGTTCGTGAGTCGAACAAAGTCTTATTATATTTTTATTTTCATGATTCAAACAGATCATGAACGTAATGTTAATCGCTTAGCAAGAGAGTCACTCGGCAACCTTTTTTCTTTGTTCTTGCGAAACAATAAAGTTTAACGTCGTATCCATTAAGGACGTGTAACGATCCAAGTCAAGAATATAAAGTAGTACGTCTTGAAAATAGACAATATAGCTTTTTGCAAAGTGTCAGATACGTGACCACAATTTTCCTCGTCACTCCAATGGGATTTTCAGTTTCACAGATATGGCGAAAAAAAAAAATGGTGAATTGCCGAAAATATAATAATACCGTAATACGTTAAAGTCGAAAAGTACATTTTTCAAAAAATTTTCGAAAATCAAATATCAAAAGTGACAACGATAGTGAATACCGGCCGCATAACGTAAAGGGGATCATTCGAAAGCGCTATACGAGTTCGTTGCACTTTAATCCAACGAGCTTTAAGCCTAAGCCAGGCGTCCTATAACTAATCTGAATTTCTATTGTTATTCGACGTTAATCCACCGCGATGGCCTACGGAAATGGCAGTGCTGCCACACCCAAGAACATACTCGTTCAATTGAGAAATCCCAGTGAAATTATTCGGCTATATTGATTCTCGTAGATTCTCTACCATCCGTAGAAATAGTAATAGCGACATTTCGAACTACGACAGTGGATGAACGTCGAGCAGGATAATTGCAGGGTAATAAAAGAGAAGAGAGGGTTGATAGAAAAAAAAAAAAAAAAAAAAAAAAAAAAAAAAAAAAAAAAAAAAAAAAAAAAAAAGATAAAAAGGGAAAAAAGTAATTGAAGGAACCAGAAACGAGACGTTCTCGGTCGATTAATTTGATTTTATTATTTATTTTATCTTTTCGATTAATCGATATAACACGCGAAGATGTCATACTTTTATATTATGATATGTATAACAGTTGCTAAGGCTCGTTTCTAACCAAACGAAAATACCTAGTTTACCATTGAACTAATTCTCACGTGATATATAATAATAAAGACTTGTAGGTTTGAGGACTTCTTATAGAAATCATATGAAATTGCAATTATTACTGTAATGGAATATAGTATAGTATAATGGAAAACATATTATAGAGCGAATACTATGGTACGGACAGAGACAGACAGACATAGAAACAGGCTAGTCTACTACCACTAAGGACAACGACGACATAGAAGACATTAATAAAACTGTGCTGATAACAAAGCACAGTATCTCAATCACTATATCAGTTCATTATATCAGACATAATCTGAGGTCTTGAGTGCTTGAATTTTTGTACAATATACTGTATATTCGTATCTCGGTACTTTTTCATACCAGGCGCGAAAGGTCTGTAAAAAGGGGAAATAAGAGAAAATAAATGGAAAAGATAAGGAAGGAAAGTAAAAAGAGTGTGAAAAAAATATTCCACCTTCTAGAAGAAAGAAGCTCAAGTCATTGGCGCTCTACGCGGATGATGCTCCTCGGGGCGTGGCAAAAAAAAAGAATGAAGGGCCCCGAGGGGCCTTACTCTTAAGGACCCCATGGATATATATATTATTGACTACTCGTCCAGGACAATTCACTTCACGACGTTGAGAAGAATTACGGCTACGGCACACAAATCAACTGGAGGATACTCCATTTTCTCAAGCTGACATAACCGAAGTTTATGAAACGAGGGTAGAAGGACTTGGGGTCACGCGAGGTCGATTCTGTAAAAATTGAAATGATCAAACCTCGAAATATAATCGGCACGAATTTTCCATATGGAAGTTTTAAATTTATTATCAAAGACGATACAGAATCTGCAGGTCAAGGTAGAAGATCGGTATCAATTTTAGCGACGATCGGTCACATGTAAATTGATAAGAGATCATACGAGAGTATTGAAAATAGTACGTAACCTGATATGGTAAGTACAAGTACGTATCACGAGTACGTATCACGTAGTAGAAACAGACTATAGATTTAAAGAAGGCAACTGTAGGCAACTGGACTCAGAGTTTACGAGAAATGAATATCTCGTTGGAATTTATAAATGAAATTGAACTGTATTCAAGAGTGCATGTGAAGTCTCCGATATCGATTGATCGGAATTTAAAATCGAGTATCCGTTGTGGCTAAACGATTGTCTCTATTCCCTTCTACCCTCGTCTTGTAGAATCGTATGGATGAACAGGCATGAATACCAATGTTGTCCTCCGCGTCGCTCACTAGCGAATCCTCAGCGTCGGTCAGGTCCTCGAAAGGGAAATTGCAGCTTGGAGATGTCAGTCCTATCGAAAGAATAGAAATAGAAGTGGTATTGTTGCAATATCTGCGAAGGCTTCGATGCTTGTTTTTTTCCCCATAAAACATCAATTTTCTTCGATTGCTGGAAAAAATGCATCGTTGCTCGTAATGGCAGTTAAGACTGCATTGCTATATTGGTCTGTCGTGTGTCGTGTGTACTCGCATTTATGTAATAAATAAATAAAAATATTCCTTCATAATAAATTAAATCTACCCAATAAAAAAAATTAATCGGCAACGAAAAATTTGTAAAGAAAATTTTTTTTTCAAACAAATTCATTAAAAACATTATTCCTCATTAAATCCAAACGTTTCGATTCAACGTGATCGACAATCGTTCCTGGTTCCTCGCTTTATGACAAATGACGTTCCTGTGTACATTCGTATGAATCTTTCTGCATTCCTAATTTCACTCATCTTTGGCCACACCCGATGCACCCGACTCCCCGCGAAAGTGCAACTGCATTGTCAAGATGCATGCACCGGTGGTTGCATGTTCTCAAAGAACAAATACCATTGCCTCTGGTTTTATTTTATATTTCAGATTATTATAGTCATTAAAAATTTTTATACTATTATTTATGAAAAGCAGCATTTAACTAATGCTTTGGGTGAAAGGATAACGAGACGAGCATGAAATACGAAAAAAAAAGGTAAATGCATTAATGATCGTTTGTGTGTTACTGTGAATGATGACTGATGGACTATACGCAAATGATGACGATAATAACAAGAGAATATATAACGGTCAAGAGAATTTGAGGATGGTCAAGGGTTCAAGTATCATTATTATTATTATTATAACACGGATCGAAAACGTCACGACGGACGTGGGAAGCAAGCAGACAAGCGGTGGCAGCTTTTATAATATGGAAGGTACACGAATCGGATATAACGGTAGCATAATACAATATGGTGGAATGACGTAGTGACACAGGGGGTTCCTGCGGAAGTGATGATTAAAGGTTAGGTCAGGCTTACCCTCGCTGTCGGCCTTCAAGTAGAGCTGCCCCTTTGGGCTCAGACACTGCCGATACTCGGTTGCGTAACACTCTGCACTCATTCAAACCAAATTCACGTTATCAGTCGTATACGCAAATCTTATAGAAGCCTCGTTAATAATTTCCACACTAATTAACAATCTAATTTAACATTGCGATCGATCGTCAAATCCAATAAGGGTCTTCAGGTCATTTGGTGATTCCGAGCATTCCACGATGACCTGAAAGAGGTCAGATCGCCGAGCGGGTCAGAGGCTAAAGTTTAATGCTCAACCACGTGCGCGAGTAACGTGTGTGAAATAATGTATAAATCACGTGACTAAATTTTTATGCGATCTAAATCTTGGCTTTTATCGTTCTTTTAAAAATGAAATATTTTTTTCATTACGATTCTCAGACGTCGGACCGACGTTTGGTGCTTCCAAGGTGGTTAGGCGTATATCGATCGTTGCCCTGTGGCTTGCGAAGAACAGTGGAAAGTTTGTGCTCCCGCTGAACTTATGTCGAAAGCTTTAGGACGGCTTGTGACCACTTTTATACGACCGCTCCTATCTCTCCTTTATGTTCCCTCTGCTCCGTGGTACGCTAGAGAGGAAAGTGTGAAATCTGCTATTCTGAACTTTGTCCATGGGATTTGGACTCACTGTGGTCGCGTATAACACGATTTTCGGAAGGCAACCCGTAGTGGACGGTTTACCACAGGGATGACCTTTACTCTACTTCTAGTCTGTAACTCTTAAATTAATCAAAATCAAGATATGCTGTATGGCGTATATACCGATACTGTATATATTTACGTACTGACGAAGTATAGAGAATTTTGAAAATTATTTTTGTCAGCTGATATTAGACCACGATAACGGAGTACCATGACCTCATGATCAATCATTAAATTCGAGGAGATGAAACTTACAGGTATCTAGACACTTTTCATAATAACGAATTTGTCCCAAGTACGTAACTTGGGATAGCAAATGTTAACATTGGACACGGATTGTTTCTATCGATCGTTAAAACGTGCCTGGGAATGTTTTATTAATTTTCGATTTGAAGTATTAATTCTTCCTACCATATTAAATGTAATGCACGCACAGAAGCTGAAAGCAATAATTTGACTTCTAGAAGCACGAATTGCTCGAAATACGTATTTTTATTTTCATGTCAACACGTCAGACTGTTTAATCGCTCTGGACGATTGTATATTGCGATATCATCCAATAATATACGTTATCAGTCCAGGGCGACATAATGCACCAATTTGCATTTGCATATGGCAAGGCTTTATGAGTGACTGTAGCATAGTCGCATTGATGATTACCAATCGGCGAAAGCTGTTAATACCGTGATTGCTAATCAACAGTAACATTGCTGAATATGAAGAATTGATCGATAACATAAATTAATTAATCGATCGTCGCAAAACGCATTTTGCAAGCAGATGTATTTTCGCCATTGTCATTTTTTCGTAACATAACCCAAAAATTTTTTTTAAAATATCAATGATAATTCTGCCTTTTTTGAATACCGTTAATGATTGAGAGACCGGTATAACCAACTTAATGATACAAAACTAAGGGATGTTTTTCAAAAAAACACCCTCGCATTCGGCACATAGAACATGAAGAGTATCGAATTGGCGACGGCAATTATTTTTCAACGAAGCGTTAAGTGCGTAAGAAAAGTCTTACAAATTAGCATCCAACAATGAATTAATTAAATTAAAAAAGAAAAACCGGAATATTCACTAGTGCCACGAATAATCACGCTTATCAGAGTGTAATGTTAAAGCGCGAAAAATTCACATTGTAAATTCGAAGAGGCAATATTTAATTTCTATCGAAAGTGCGTACTGTCCCAGTTTGAATTTTACGTGAAAAAAATACTCTGCTCTTCCCTTTTTTTTCCATAAAAGCAAAACTGTCAAACAAAATTTCATTTTTACAACAAAAGCACTTAATCAGCTTTGTCAATGAAAGTTAACCTATTTCCCACCGCTAATATACCAACCCTCAACCTTTTCCTCCTGCATCTTTCAAGACGTCATTCAGAATCTGTACCAAGTTAAGCCTCCGTTGGCTGCGACGTTTGACAACGTTAATTAAGGTCGTGCTTAAATAATAAATGGATTGACATCCGAGTTGGATTCTGTACCGTACATAAGAATAACAAACTACCCTTCCGGGAATGTTGAGCTGCCCTTTCGACAAAGGCTAACTCACTACAATAGGACGACGTTCGATAATAATGATGGGGTACTGAGTCAACCTGGGTAAAGGTTACTCGACACTGCGAAGAATTTTATGAAGTTTCAGATACGTATCGCGAAACGTGCGCTTCACGATTGAAAGATTGTCGGATATCTTAAGAGGCAGACTGATTAACATCATTGGAAGTACATATTGGGCGAAGTAGTTACGGAACCGAGATCAAAATCGAAGATCTCATCTTAATAGGTATCCAGATACAAATTGTGGTGGATACAGTGTACGATAAGCAATTATCGATTGAGATGGATGAAGAATGAAAGGAAAATGAAGAAATTCAGCGAAATTTTGAACCATGTCAATTTTTTGATTATATCATACGCGACCGTTAAATACGTATGCTTAATACGTCACTGTCATCCATATCCATGTAGGTGTGTATAAGATTTTGAATCTGATTCGAGCATAGAGCGGGCGTGTTATTGATTGTAATAAAAAGTTTTATTTAAATAAAGGTGAATCGATTGAAATCACCTGACGATTATTTTGAAGCAACGTATTAATTAAAATTATATAATTAAAAATATTCTGTTACTGCATTTATAGTACGCGTCGAATATTGCCTCTACGACGTATACCGAACGCTTTTGTGTCTCTGTACACGCTGAACGCACGTGTAAAATTTACCTAATTTCTAGAGAAAAAAAAATTGCTATAGAGTCTGTAGCTCGATGTACGTGATATTCGCTCGATGCTGGCTCTGTAATTGCTTATGAAAAATGAAATTGTAAAATTTTCAAAATTCAACCACCCCAATGTGAATCCTTAACCGTTGGCACAATTCCAAAGCTGTAATAACGTCGAAACTCGAAATACCATCTACGTACATATATGGATATAGTAACTGAATTTCTAAGAGTGGAAACCCGAAAATAGTCTCCCTCTCCTCCCACTCCTAATAGCCAACCCCCGCAAGATATTTATAGATAAACAACCCCCGTCCGTACATTCCCGTCTCAAGTAACACAGAGAATTCCATATAGCCCGAGGAAAATGTCGACAGTGTGATTACTCGTTCCTGCATATATCAAGGGACACGAAAGGTCTGCCATAACAATGTCGCAGACTAATATTTTGGTGGCTTCTTGCCTTTAGGGCCCGAAACTGTTCAGCATCAAAACTAAGAGCCAGCATCCAGTATTCACAGCTCCCTTGGGTCCAGGCCTGAGTAAGTTGTTAGACTTGTTTTTTGTTTTTTTTTTTTCGACAAAAAAATAAATATAAAAAACGAACAGGGTAAAAACTAAAATAAAACATACATACCGACGCCATTGGGCTGCGACGCCGGAAGCTGCACGGCGACTCCAAATCCGCGCAGCTTCACGGGAGCTGAATTTTCCTTCCCGGCGAGAAGGGCGCATTGCGGCTTTAAATCTCGATGAATTATGTCGTTCTCATGGCAGTAACGTAAGGCTTCTAAGATCTGTCGCATGTAGTGACTGAAACATAGGGTGACAATGGATAATGCACTTTACTTATAGTCGGAACACGTAGAAAGTACTCGGCTTTCACTACGGAAACGGGAACAATTGCTTGTCGGATTTCAGGAGTTACTGTTACATAGTATACTGCTATATATATACACACGTTCTGATACAGGAAATAAAAAGCTTTTTCACGGATACAGAAATGCAGCCTGAGAAACTAATGGTTGATTTCATAATACGATACCGTAAGTCTCGTGATGCAATATGTATAGAATATAAATGAAAAAGGATAGATAGTCTGTCTTTTTTGGAGATACGAGATAAATAACGGGCAAGAATATTGCAAAATTAATATGTCGGACAGTTTCCGTAAGATTTAACAAATTTCAGAAGGATTCGATTAATGATGCTGGATCATTTATCTACCGGCGGACACTCCGTAAATCTTAGTGGTAAACGGAGTAATCTTTACCACGTAGGAAGGAAATTTGATGAAGCGACTATACAGCGGTCGACGCTGCAGCAGGAATCTGATACTTGTGGACCAGTTGCCTATAATTGTTACGTGAGACTTAAAGCAGCACTTTCATGGTTTCGACAAGCGATTAAACAGAGAATCAATTCACAATGGACGTAAAAGATAATTAGCTTTAATTTTAATAGGCGAATCAAGTATGCACCAAAGGAAACTCATTATTCGTAATAAACACTCGGAGGCCACTCTTTCTTGAGTTTTCAAAACTCGTCTTGAGCAATGGACTCATTGTACCGAAATTTCATAAAAGTTCGTCGAGATGTAAAGGCGACCCAGAATTTTCCACGAGATCTCATCAATCAACGACGCTTGAACAAAGTTTAATATAAGCGGGCGACGTGATCCGTTGAAAACTAGTCAAGATTTTTTTCTCGAAAATTATTACTATAACGATAACAATCTTTCAAAATTAATAATAAAATTAATATCACTCTTCTCATTCGACGAGCGTATGTGTATATATAAATAGTCCTATTTATCATATTGTTGTTTTGAATATCAAGAATTTTCAAAATCAGTTTGGTGGTATCAGACAAATTTCAGACTGAACGATATCTTGATACTTGACTGATGAACACGAGCGATCGACTTTATTATCGCAGGAACGATCTTCTTGAAAAACATGTCAGCCAAATTTCATTTTTTAATTTTTTAATCGATCAAATGATTATACATGTTCAAGGACCATGTTCCATGGCTATGATGCTGTAATGTAACATGTCATCTGTTCATGTGAACTATTTTCTTTTTTAAGATTCATTCGAGGGATGCATACCTGGCTACTGCTTCGCTGTATACGAAACCAGCACTTGCACGTCTGACAACTTCAAAGCAGAGGTCGGAGCCATCCATGCTGAAAGGAAGGAGAAGAAGAGGAGATCATTTAGTGCACAAAGAATAAGAACTCCGGATCAGCGTTATCGAACCGTTTTTCAAGCTTTTCAGTCGCTCTGATAAGCACGGGTACGTTGAAAGATAGAACCGAATATGAAAAGGGAAAACTTAATGTTTTCGTGCAAAGGATGATAAACCATTTGAAAGGATTTTAAGTTCTGTCAACTTTGAGAAATATTGACAGCCGTCATAGGAAATAAGAAGACAAAAAATATAGCTTTTCCGGTTGTCGAATTTCACTTTTTAAAATATTCCCTCTTATTGACTGTTTAAGAGGTACAGATATTTTTTTTTTTTTTTTTGGTAAACTCTCTGAGTTTTTATAATACCTCGTACTTTTTGCTATTGTAATCGTCAAGAGGTCTGGAAGTAATAAAAAAAAATTTTCAATGAAGACTGAAAGGCAGAATTGTAAGTGCATGAAGAATTGTACGTATAGGGAGACTATTCTTCCAAATGAATGATTATACCAAAAAGAATGATAAAATTCTTAAGAAGTATCGCAGTTTCAAAGTTGAAGAAAGAAATGAGAGATTCTGACAGAAGAAAATTATTAAAGATTTATTCTCAATGTTCATTTTACCAAGAAAATGTAGACTGAGGTTTCCATGTAATATAATTAATATATATTATACGTACTATTCGAAAACCATATACAACATGCCCTCTGAACTGTAAGTCTCCAAGAGTTCCACGATGTGAGGATGCTTTAACATATGACATATTGTGGCCTCGCGTTTCAAATCTGTAAAACAAATAAAACTCATTATTGAACGTCTAAAAACGTACAAATAAATTACAAATGTTGAATAAATAGTTAGATGTTGAAATAAGGCAAAGATATTCCTAACAAGTCCAATATTTGATTAATAATGAAATAGTTTGATTTGGCCCCATTTCCATAAATCAATAATGATAATCATCATATTGGCGACAAGCATTTGATAAAAATATTTTTCAGTTATCAATTCTCTTTAGCATAACAGTACATGATTACTCCCAATATAATCCTGAACAGTCATCTCTCTTTATCGTCCTCTCAAATTGGAAATATTTGAATGTCAAAGTAAAGAGAAAAAATATGTAAATTGCAATCGGCATCTATTCATGTATCTCCTTGAAACGTTCAAGTGCACCTTGACGTATTGAATAATCAGAGAAAATTTGATTTTCCATATTAAACACGATAAACGAATATTCTGAAAAGCGTGTAATAAATCTTTCATGAGATCTATGTTGCTAAAACTTGTATGAGAAAACTCAATCCTGGTTCAAATGTACATAAGGTATTTGCAAAGTCCTCGCGTAGACGTTCTAACGTTATTCGATAAGAAACTCGAGTGACAGTATCAAATATAATTTATATGAGACTAATTACGTGACAATGTTTATACGCGGAATATTGTGGATTCAATGAAAATAAAAATAGATTTTTTTTTTTTGAATTTTCAGCAACAACGTGATTTACTTAAGGCTAGTGAGAAATAATGCGGTTGGTATCGACGGATATTTATGGTGATTATTGTGCATCGAATTGAACTGTTGGTCCATAGTAAAAGCTGTGCTCTTGCTTCATGGTTAAATCCAAAAATTTTCGGCCCTCACGATGGTTCGTGTCCTATTCAATTACACAATGGGTTCCGTGAATTCCGGAGGCGCGATTTGTTTCGAGCAGTCGGTTGAAAACTAATGGAGAGAGGAAGACAGAAAACGTGACGGTTAGCAAAGAGAATTGGAATTGCGGATTCGCTTGCTCACCGGCGGTACTGAGTCCTGGACTGGAGGTGAATTTTGCCACGTCGACGATTTTTACAGCGAAGGTTTGACCTGTCTGACGGTGAATGCATTTCCGCACGACGCTGAATGGTCCTCTGGAACAATAAAAAAGTAGAAAATTACAAAAACAGTTAAAAATACCAATTGCCCAAATTTTCAAAGCTCGCACAACGTTATCGTTAATAAGACCATTTTTTAATTACAATATCCCATACAACGTACCGATCAATCGGTCATCTAATGACTGGATCGTTTCAAAAAAAAATTATAAAGTACAGAAGCAACAAGTGCGACATGATCTTCGTCGTAAATAAAAAAAAAAAAAAAAAATTAACTTCTCACAAAAGGATAAACATTACCTACAAAAGGTTACGTAACGTCCTCACTGCTCTCCATATCACTATTAGAATTCAACGGCTCGCCGAGTCCCTTGAAATTCTTCAATTTATGGTAAAAAAGAGTTTACACGGTTTAAGGATATAGTAAAAACGTGATGTTCCGCCGAAGTGTTTGCAAATAGTGTTCCAAAGTGCATCATAAATATTCCATCGGGCCGACTTGTTCTAAAGGGAATTGGCAGGTACAGTGAAGTGGCTATAATCCATCACCCGCGTTTCCACCAAGTATATTACTACTGTATACATATAGATGGGTACTCCCTTAATATTAAAAGAATTAAAAGCTCTCTTTGATAAATCTTCCTCTCTCCCCGACCCCCCCTTCAATATTTATTAAACAATCATTCTCCCGAGTGCCTCACGAGCTATGATTTCTAACGTCTCCCACGCTTCAAACTTTATCATCCACGTCTTTATCGCGGTAATCGATAAATTTTATAAGAACGAAAAATAATGAAATCGAAACATTATCATTAGGAATAATCCGACTTGACGAAAATTTTAATTAGTAAAACACTATCTCAAGTATACACTATAATCAACGCTTTCACACTATATACAGATAATCAGAGCGTGTCACAGATTTTCATTCTGATACTCGATTCGTCATAAAGCAACTACAAAGTCCAATGACATATGGGGGTTAACAGTGAATTAGGTCAATCTGAAACGATCCTACCGATTCCCACTATCCCCTGCATGCGAAACCTCAAATTCACGAAATTGGACATTTCTATCATCTTCTGTAGGATATTCAGAGAGCATTCACACACGTGGCTACGAGGCACGTATGTATCTCAGTGAAAGAGAAGGTATTAGCACACGTTCCATTCCAGCTTGTTTCCATATTATTGGACATCCGCAGGCATGACTGACGTGTATCGAATCGCATATGGATCTACCAGGGGGTAGCGGAGGGGTACAGGATGAAATTGAAGTCTGTAAATGGGATTGTTAGCCAAACCCAGAAACAAATAGCACTATACACACTGTGGGTTTACAGGTTCTGATGTAACTCGGTGAAATATCGACTAGGGCTCTCGGAGCTTCACCCTTGTGATTCTTCAAGCTCAGATCCTAGTACGGTTCTGCCGATGTAATATAACATTTCTTCTAATGCGTTTGGACACATAAATGTACATCGACGGTACACGCTATATACCAGAAATGATCCCCCACGATCTTTAGCAATTTCTCTGAATCACCTCGACGAGGGTAGCTACCGTGGACAGACGAGTAATTTGAAACTGTAGAAACATCTATTTTCTATACTTGACGGTCTTGAGGCTCTCTGGAATCAACGTCAATTATTCCGTTAATGGGAAAAGGTTCGCAAACGTGATCGAAGACAATGAACCCTTCGATGGCGGATCTCCCGTTTGCCACTGAAGAAATTCCAGGCTAGCCGTTAGCTCTACTCGCACCGTAGGAAGGTAGCAGCTATCGGAAAAGCGGGCGCGGAGCATCGAGGCAAAAGGCGCAAAGCGACGGGGCGTGTCGAAAGCTCGGAAATACATAGAGGAAAAGCGAGCTCGGATGCTGGTGGTTGAAACCTGCGAACGTGCTGAATCCTCTCCTGCTTGCAGGTATTATGCAAGAGATACAGAGGCAGGTACATGAACCGTTGGTTATTTCACGTGAAAGAGTCCAAAAAGCCAATCAGCACTCTTCGTTAAAAAAATGTTTTCCCCTATCACATGTGATCTTCACTATTGATAAGAACGTTAACAGACCCGACGAACACCTGGCGTTATCGTGCGTCAAATACATAAAATGAGTTTACAGTGTAATAGAAAGACGCAATTAAGCCTGAGCAATCAATCGTACCGCACAAAATGTTTTACGTCATTTTGGCACTCGCGGTCCTCGCCTCGGCGAATGCCCGCAGCACACGCAGTAAGTTTATCTTTTTGTTTATACGAAAAATCAAATCCGACGATAATTTTGAATTATTATACAAAGAGCGTAGATTTCTTATAAATTTCTTTCTGTCTATTCACAAATATCTCACGAATTCACCGAATAGAAAAGGAAAGCTAAATCCTTCCGATTTCTTGTATAGTACACGGTAGCCTTCTTTATAATTCCACGAGGAACCCCAGGACCATGACGAGTCTTTTAAATATTCATAAGCGACGTGGCTAATCGATTACTCACGCTGTCTCGCACTAAAGTCAAAGTATAGTTATACCAACTTCTAAAACCAAATGGTAACAGGCATCCATAAACAATTCGATACCTAATACCATATGCAAATCCCTTGTGAGACCAAAGAAAAAAATATCCCAAGAGACAGTGGGATGCCCGTGCCGAACCATAGAAACGAAATGGGAAATTTCACCTTCCCAAGATCCACGGTATTTACGAACCTGATGTACGGAACGTGACGTTTAACGACCATCTGGAACTTATAGACAGATTGACAATACTCCAGAGATAACCCTTGAGGATTTTACCATTGCTCTTTGCGTTTCAGGAACCGGATGCACCATTAACATAAACAGTGATCTTCTGGATCCTCAACCCCTGCTCCTAGTAGCCAATGCAACCGAGCCAATCTTCGTGGATCCCGTCGACACTTGGGGAACACTTGAGTTTGCGGTAGGTGAATCCGTTCGTCTAGTCTGTCCAGGTAGCAGCAACTACCTAGTGAACGTCGGTCCCAAGAAGGTATCCGATGCCAATGCTGTCTGCGTTGGAGGGAAGATCTTTAGCATCGGCTCCACCCGGTACCAGTTCTCATCTCTTGTCTGCCAGTCTTTGGCCTGGCACGAGTGCAGGAGGACCGGGAAAAGATGCCTCGGCACTTACACCCAGGTTGAGATCGGTTTCAACGTTGGCAACGGGTTCTTCAGGGTCATAGAAGTCTGTCGCGACGATGACACCTACACGACGCTTTACACCAAGTCCAACTTGACTAAGGGAATCGGTGGTTATCAACGTGGATATCCCAGACCTAACTGGCTGAGTGGCAGCTTCTATTCCAGATACAATATGAATGCTCAGTACAGACGTGCGACTCAGATCGCCACCGTCAGCACCGTGGTCAACTCGACCATCCTGGGTGCTTCCTACGTCCACACCAACACTGATTATTACTTCTCACGTGGACACATGGTGGCCAAGGCTGACTTCGTTTACGGATCTGCTATGAGGGCTACCTTCTGGTACGTAAACTCAGCCCCACAGTGGCAAACATTCAACGGCGGCAACTGGAACAGTCTGGAATCAGATGTCAGGAGCTTTGCCAGCTCAAGGCAATTGGACCTCACGATCTACACTGGAGTCCACGGTATAAGCTCGTTAGCCGATATCAATGGCGTCGAGCAGCCTATGTATTTCTACGCAAGAGGCAATGCTAGAGGATTGCCCGTACCTAAATTCTACTGGAAAGTCATCTACGATCCGATCAGCAAGAAAGCTTCTGCCTTCGTCGGCGTGAATGATCCTCACGTCAGTAAACTCACTGACGACTACTTCATCTGCACTGACATCAGCAGCAAATTCAATTGGCTCACTTGGGTGGCTGATAGCATAGAGTTAGGCATTTCTTATGCCTGCACCTACGACGATCTTCGCGCTGCAATTCCTACCGTCCCTAAAATCAAAGTCAACGGCATCCTTGTTTGAGGTATCAGAGGGAAGATCTGGACCTTTCTAGCCATTCTTCATCGAGATCTTTGAAAGTGTATTACATCCTTACGTGGGAATAGGCATGAGATCAATAATAAATGGCACAACTAATCCGTGCTTAGATTCCAGAATAAAAGGAGAAAAAATCATAATCCTAAATCTAATTTACACATGGCGGCATATGAAATTCACTTGATTCGATTAAAAACGTATCTCGTGTACTTGGTTGGGATTGATTTATGCTCGAAATAGCCGTTTAACGTTAATCGGATGAAACGTCGAATAGGCTGCTTACAAAAACTCAAGCACATACCAAGAGAGCATGGAATAAAGACGAGTATCAAGGATACGTGTCTATAAGGCAACAAAGGCGTTACGTCCTCTCATCTTTTAATTAGAGCAACAAGGGACTCTGTATATTTGTGCAACAGACAATGAAAGCTCGAGTCATAATATAAGTCTCGTAGATTGGGCAATAATTTATAAATGTACCATTCATACCCATCGGACTGCATGACGTAAGTACACGAATAATAATAACAAGCTCAAGCTGAAGTATCAAGATAACGTAAACGTTATCGATCGCAACAATGCTCGTATGAGGTATTTTAACAATGAACGTTGACGCGTGTCTTTTTTTTATCTTTACACTTTCATAATATGTTTCACGTAATAAAAGATTATACCCTCGGCCTGTTACAGCGTTACAAGGTATTATGCCACGCTGTGTACATATACGTATAGTCGGAAACATATATGACATCTCATTACACTCGATAGTCTTCCGTGACAATTGGCTGAATTCCAAGGGATACTAGAAGGCATTGTATATGAAAGGGGGAGCCTGGGGAAGGAGAATGTTTTGGGGAATTTTTTTGTTCAAGTCACTAGAAAACTCCCTAGGAACAAACTTGAGCGAGGGAAAATATTTATCAGACGTCTCAGGAAGTGCCTGTGCCAGACACGTGCGTGTAGAGTCATTGGTATAGTAATATTTATTTTACGAAGACATCCGTCTGCATTGAACATTCAATAGAACCAAATATTTACGTTGGAATGAATGCAGATCTATTATTGGTGAAATATAAGCATCACCTCTTCATTAACAGTAGTATATAGAAAATGCTATATGCATCGGATGAAGAGCATGTACAGCTTTTTAGCAGTGGATTCAGCCATTCCTGCGTAGTATAAGGTCGACCTTGAAAGGCATCGTATTTCATTGATTTCTTATACCAGAAGTCGTCTAGCTTGGAGCTCCAGTGAATTATCTGTAAATGGAGCGAAACTGGACCACAATTTGAAACTCCGAACCTGTAGATAACACTTATAACAATTTATCAAAACCGTGCAGCTTTCACGGACACCTATCCACGTCTTATGGATTACGACACCGGGGGTCATAGGGTTATAGAAATTGAATGAATACGTGGGTACGAATTGTACAGTCAATAGACTGAGGCAGGTACTGTAGTATGCAGCATATACCGGGTGGTCCACCTGAAAGTAACTACTCTATGGAATATATTTTACTGACGTTAGCTTCCACACAAATAACATAGGTTAGGTGTCGTTTAGCAAACGTTCTATGGCCAAATGTAGGAAAAAAGTTTGTTCATGGTCATTTAAAAAATTACGACATATGGACAGATCATAAATATTTGGTTTCAGTTCGAAAAAAAAAAAATTATTTTTCGTATTCTTACGATTTTCAACAATTATCGTTTCAGATAAAAATATGTGTCGAGGAAGCTCGGACTCGATAGAATTGAATAAAAACATTGATAAGGTTCTACGTATAAAATATACATTTTTAATAGAAAAACAAAACGTAGAACAAGAAACTGGGACAGGAAGCATAAAAGCAGTTCACGTCGGAGTTCACCTCTTACGTCTACACTGAGACTTAACTTCGCTCGAGTATTTTAGGATTTCTTGAAGACTCAACCAGGAATACGAGTTACAGGAGACGAGCGTTGAGCAAACACAAGATTTTTAACCCGATAAATTCATTTCGACTACGTTTCCATAACGTTAGCCGTGTCCAATTCCGTTAATGATATTTTACCGTGAATTTTGGAAGAGCTAACTCCGTTTTACGCAAAACGTAAACAGAAAGCAATGAAAACATTCGCACTTCACAATAACTTTACTGTTGGCCGGCAACCAGAGACCTCGCTAACGAGCGATCTCATTAATCGTATGTCGCCCCACTGCTATTGCTCCGTTCGCAATTACAATTGTGCCAAAGAACACGTGACAAACTTACGTTTACTTGAAAAAAAGAAAAAGGTCCAAGATCAAAAACCTCTAAGACCCGGTTACAATTTAAGTGCGGTTTTGAACTTGGAACACTAAATAAAGTTACCATGGCAAAATCTTATAACCAGGTACAGATCGCATCAAAAGTCCTTATAGCTCTGCATTTTTACTCGAAATTCTATTACGTCACATTAAATAGAATTAGGCCTTGTTTAATCCAAGCTTCTTCAAAGTCAGTTGAGATGCTACATTTATATCTATATACAGCACCATCATGAATATCCCTTTGTCTTACGATCGATTCGCAGATTAACAAACCGCAATGGCCTCCTCCATCTTTCAGCCGAATTCATAGCGAATCTTTATCACGGTACGGAACCCAACCAAAGGGACCTTACCACACAGATATGCGCGATGTGGTCACGTGACGCATGACCCACGGCACTTAACTTCAATTAAACAAGAAAAGAACACCAGCCATTCAAACTCCACTGAATGGAGCTCTGGGATGACTGCTTTGCAGTAGTCCCTATCTTGATCCCTTAATTAATGAAGGTTAAAGACGAGCATGTCCAAGATGACAAGAGGAGATCGGATCCTCGTAAAAAGTAAGTCACAGTCTCGCCAATCCAATCTAACGTTATATCTTCCTGAAATATCACAGAGGAGAACCATATAGACAAATTTATAGCAATCTAGCTAATGCCGGATATACATGTACACTATAACCCTAGAATAACATATATGCATACTAAACAATGTTACGTTCACTGGCCCTAAAAATAATATTTACCGCATTAACTGTGTAATCATAACGTGTCACGTGGTAATTCATGTTTGTCCAGATATTGCATTTTCTAATTAGAGAACCGAAAAAATAGCTACGTTGACCAACATCGTAAAAACGATGAACTGAATTGTACCTTGTTAGTCGAAATATACTACACGTTTGACTTTCCACGTCGTGAACATGATACCTCCCTTTAATCGCTTTAATGATAACTTGCATACGTTTTGCTCCTCTGCATACCAACGTTAATTTACCCAGTAGCGTGATCTATGTCAGAATTAGTCTGAATAAGTATATATATATCTATATACATAGAATACGAAGGTCAAGGAACTCGTTAGATGATGGAGCTTTGTCTTGCCTGAGAATTTCGAACACGAATCAATGTTCAGGGAAGCATTACAAATAAATAGGAACGTTGACTCATGCTTCTGACCGCTATAGGTATCGGCTTTCACTTTATGCTTTCATTGTCAATCAAGTATTTAGTCGTAGAAGGCCAGTCATAACAATGGCCCAGAGCATAAAACATAGTGGATGCATACGTATGTATATCATTCTGTTGGCACATGTTTCCCTGGAATTTCAAAAATAGACCTGAAATATATGAGAATGTTATTCTAGAGTTGTAGGAGATTTCTTCTCTAGCTACTGAAACTTCTCAGTGAAAAAAGTGTATCGATCAATGCCTTTTGTGAAAAATAAACAATATGACAAGATATAGTTTTCAGGAGGGAGATATTTTCCATCTTAAAGAAACATAGAGAACTGAGGCTATTATAGCGTTTCCTAAGCTGCTATAATTATACCCTAAATCTGGATGCTCAGTAACCATTATTTGAGAAGCCTACTTTGATGCTTCAGAACTTGTCATTGGTTTGGCGAAGGGAGGGGGGGTGGGGTTGTGCGACCAGATGAATGAAAAGAAACGTAATTGGATATAATGGGGGTAACGTAATATGTACCGTCCATGTCGTGTATTCACTTTCGTTTAGATTCCGAATGTTGAGGCGTGGAAATATTATGCTTAAGAGAGCAAAAAGCACGTGTATAACGAGAAAAGTAAACAGTCCAGTCAACAAGTGCTGCCACTGGAAGTTAAGTTTATGGCTTTACGAAGGATCCAATTACGAAACGATCCTAAATAGGTTTCGTAGAAGATCGTAAAAATGATTTAAAATGATAAACTTAAGGAGAGTTTAGATCTGCTTCTAGAATATAGAAAATATCGTACCTTGGATTACAAAGGCTAGTTCTCGGGTATCGTATACAATTGTGCAATTGACTAACCTGGATTCTGGGTTGCCATTTCAAGAGGAACCACATGATGGATCGATACTCCAATTTGTATAGCTTAATTAGAATCAAAACAGAGGCTCCCTCGTAATGACTCCTCTGTATTGAATTTTACCATGTAGTAGAAGCTATATCTTAAAGATTGAAAATCTGCTTGTTACAATACCTTGAAGCTAGTACGCTATCAGTGAGAATTCCTGATTCCTCAAGCACTCCGAAATATATTATTAGGGCAGATTATCAAACTGACTTGTACACAAACGCGTTGCCGTAAGGCGAATGCTGTCAGTGATCGGCATGCTGAATGAAAGCTGAGAAATATAAAAAGTCTGATAGAATTGAATAAGAGAAAACAAGGCAGCGAGAACTAAAGAAACATAGGAATACGATGTTTAGAAGAAAATTCAAAGCAAAACCTGTAAATAGAGCAAAGGCTACGTCTTTTGATTTGTAAACGAGGAAAAAGGCACGTTATTACTGCTAAATATGATGGCAACGATCCATTGACGTGTTTTTAGCATAGGTTTCCATAGATGCTCAAAATCTATTATATTCCTCCAACTGTTACTCACTTGCCGATAATCTCGCAGAGCTCATAAACATCATCGAAGAGAACCTCGTCGTCCGCCATGGCGATGGCGACGACTACAACCAGAAAGAAACGATCGTGCCGCCGCTGCACGAGGCGTCCGAGTCGAAGTCGGCTGCTGCCGTACGGAACTGTCTAAACTGACGTCTCCCGGCGTGATCGTAACTGTAGCTCAAATTATCCCGGCGCCTACGCCTTCACTACTGGTACACACTGGGGCCACAGTCGATTCTCACTGTCACTGCCGTCACTGTCGTCCGTCACACACAATTCTGTATCATGTCACAATTCACGCTTCCGATTAAGTTATCCTAGACACCGCCTTGAACTGAGATTGACTACGCGAGCGACGCCCGAACCCGGCAAAACTCAAGGAAACCGGCTAACCCGGCAAACCCCTTCCAACCTACGTTATAAAAGCAGCTCGACACCTCGAGACCGACGGCAGAACGAAGATAGGATGCCACTGCAGTACGCCGAGGCTGTCAAGGGCCAGGGAGCAGAGTCTCTCGCTCCGAAGCAAGACTGGTTGCATAAAACGCGGCGGGCGACTGCGCCGAGACACCAGGTTCTCCTCTCCACCCTCTGGGATATGTACGTGGTGGGGCGGGCGTGGCGCCTGCTATAATATTTTACGTTTACGTCGACGTCGGTTTTCCCTTTGTTGAATGTCTGACTTCACGTAGTCTAGTATTAAAATATGTCTAGGAATTGTTACTTGCTTTTAGGATATATTTTTCTATTGTATTTTCATATTTTTTATGTTCTTTCATTAAAATGTTTATCATCGTAATAATTAATGCGACTAAGTAGCTTTAGGGAATGTTAATATTACCTACGTCTTGTTTTATAGATATATTATTTATTATGGATTTATTTGCAGTTGAAGGTTCTTGAGTTACTGTATGGGCGCTTCAGGATTTTATATTTTGATAGGACCTGTAGCGAAATTGACAATCTAGGGGTGTCTTGTCTTGTAACTCAATTGAATGACTCCCTAGAGCAAACTAGCTTCCTAGATTTCTACTGGGATATTCAATTTGGGGGATGATTTTGGAGGGCAAACTGCTTCTGCAAGTTGATTCTGTCTTGTTGCTCTTATCTTTTTGATATGTGAAAACATCTCACGCGTGGTCGATCACTTAGTTCTCGCTCTCATGAGATTTATCCGATCGACTTACGAATGACCCGGTTTCGATATCGATGCGCTGTATCTGCGAGGGTATGGGTTGGAAAAACTGTAGTTTATTTTTAGACTGCAAGTAGAGTTTACACACTTGACGCCTGCCTCATCGACCTCCCAACATACCGAGCATCTAAGTACCTGCTCGCTCATAAAAGTGGGCCTCTGCTTAGTTTTTCCAACTTTTCTTGCACATGTATAGAAGCTATTTCACTGGAAAACAAATATTTCTTATAATAAGCTTACTATACCTGACATTCATATGCATTATATCTTAAGCCCATCTTGTTGCCTAAGGGTATGGAGCAGAGGAACTTTATTGTAAATGATTTGTTATGATTTAATGCATTTATTTGAACCACGTATACTAGCTATAAGTGCCATTTTTTGTATTCAGCTTCCTAAATGCATTACTTGGATGACAGTTTTTGAATAGGAAAGACAATAATATCATTTAGTCGCTATAAATTTATTATACCCCAAATATTTAATGTTCACGTTGTCCGGATGTATTATCGTAAAAGCGAAAGTCCTTGGAAAACTTCCTCAAGATCTTCTTCTTGTCCAAATACTGTTAGAACTAAGATTACATGTCGACGACCCCAGTTCCTTTTGAGTAAGTACGAATCGACTCCTAAGGTTTGAACTTCGTCCTCAAGGAATTTCAAATGCTTATGGTCGTATCCTTTTAGCACAACTATCTTTTCACTAGTGTAAATAATATATTGATAATGTTGTAAAATGATTCTTTAAATATACTAAGTTTTAGATCTTACACTCTACAATATAAAAAGTAATGGTTAGGATGCCTCTCTTAGTATTTGCCTTACCCAGAATGCGTCCAATCTTCCAGATATTCACCTTTTACGTCATCGCTATCTATTTTGTTATATAAGGCCATAAATCCTCGTGCTATCTGAAAATTATTTATTACTCTAGTATTTGTGATTAAACCTTTTCTTATAATTTTACTTACTGCAGTTGCAGCAGCTCCTTGATCCAATGACAGAACAGTGTTAAGGATGGAATAAAATGTATACTGTAGCGGCCCTGGATCATGAACAGTATTAATCTTTTCCAAAGTGTATTTAGGTATGCTGAATGTATTTTTTTTTCTGAAATATAATATGTAATTACAGTAATAATTATTAGTACTACGTATATTGAAATTTAAATATTAAATTTAAAAATAAAGCTTAGTTTATTCTTGTAATGTGTAATTCATACCGTATGTTATGTATGCAATTAGGATTACAAAATATACAGCATTTGCTCCGTTTAGTCTTATGCTGATTCGAATGCTTCTGATATTCGTTTACCATCAAGTTATCTGTATGGCAGAGATCCTATTAGAATATCTTCTATAAATAGTAGCAGTATTTTGGAGAAAGCAATATGACAAATTAAATTCTAAGATATATTACCTCTGGTTCAAATATCTGTATTGTATGAGGATTATGACATTTTAATTTTAGTAATGCAGTAATTATATATTCAGCCATACGATTTTTATTCGCCATACATTTACGACGTTTCGACATTTATTTGTCAAGAATAAGAAAAAGGGTATCAATGTCAAAATAATTGTATACACTTATCCATGTAACGAAAACAAAACGGTATATCTTGAAATTGTGTTGTATTCCACCATATTTACTTACAATTTTTAGGCGTAGAATATAGAAACAGCTACTAGATAGTCTTTATAAATCATATTATACAGAGATCAGTAGGGAGATGCACAACGCTACGGTTTTAGGCGATACCAAAAACATGGCGCTAAATCGTAGCGGCAAGTCCGGGGATAAAATTTTGTGATCATCGCCTCCGTCGATAATGCATATCCCGTCGTAGCCGAGCTGAACGTGATCACGAACGGGTAGCCTGGCGGGCAGAGTCCTCCGCTACTTATCGCTGGTTCCCAAAGCAACACTTAGAACGAGACAACTCATCGGATATAGCCTAAATACTTTTTTTCTTTGCAATCCTAAATTCGATCGCACAGTGTAAGCTCGGTAAGTTTAATATGACAAAAGCAAGCAACTCATGTCTGCCTGCACTGAAGCGTATGATGCCACAAGCATATTTAATACATATTTTACCGATGTTGCGTTAATAGAACAATTGTTAAAACCTATCAGGAACTATAGAAATTCTAGTTAATTGCGTAGCATGTACAACGCTCAGACACCAATTTTTGAAGTTCTTCAAGAAAGTATCGTTTGTACCTCTTTCCAATCAGTCCCCTTCGAAAGAGTATAGTCTCTAGTATATCTCCACTGCGTTCCATCGTTTGTACCTTCATAGTTTTCTTTTAAATTTAATATTAGTGCGCAGCAAATACAGGGTCTAGACACCATTTTTGTGAGTTTTTCAAAACATTTATAGGTAGTATAGTTGTAAGTTAAAGGTAGTATAGTTATAGGTAGTAGAAAAAGTGTAATAATCCGTATGCGTGCGAGAGAGACGCACTTAGAGCCCCGCTGTGCTAATGAAACGTACGCTTTAGGAGCATTAGAGGGTGCGTCAACGATATCCTGAAATGCGAAGAATTGCCGTGCACCGATCAGCCTGCATCGTCACTCCAGAGCATCGTT